AGAGAGAGAGAGAGAGAGAGAGAGAGAGAGAGAGAGAGAGAGAGAGAGAGAGAGAGAGAGGTGGGTTACAGACGTATGTACTTGGACAAATATCAGTGCCAAATGGGATGTCACAAATGTGAGAAGTATGAATACAAGAGGAGAGGAGAAGAACAGAGGTTGGAGAATACAACTTCCTAGAATACAGAGAGTGACCACTGAGGGGGAACACGACTACCTTCTTCCCCTGAATAAAACATACAGTCATTTTCACTCCATCTGGACCGAAAATGGCCCCAAATACGGCTATAATGACCGTACGTTCTGTTTGGGGAAAATGGTAGTGCAGGGAGGGTTCGAAAAAGCAGGATGAGGGGAAGGAGATAGCAGACGTTGATGTATGTCCGCAGGTCTCTCTTTATTCACAAGATAGAGAAGAAAAAAGACAGATAGACAGTGGCTTATTGGAGAAGAGGAGGAGAGAGTGAAGGAGGTGGTGGAGGAAGCATGCTGTTTCGAAGGAGGAAGACGGGGGAGGAGGAGGAAGAGGAAATGGAGGACGCACGTGCTGCTAAGCATGATGAGCAGAAGGGGACAAGAGTCGGGGACGAGGAGAAGGATGAAGGGAAGAAAGTAGGAAGCACCTGCTAAGCCTGGTGCTTGAGATGGTCATTGAGGTATGCAGCCATCTCTCGCTCTCTCTCTCTCTCCTTTTTTTGGTTTGTTTAATTGAAAGCTGCAGCATCCATGGAATAGGAAAACAAACGAATAATGAAATGCAAAATAGAATAAGAGGAAAAAGAGGGAGAGGAGGAGGAGCAAAGGGCAGTGTGAGAGGAGGAAACACAATGACCAGATGCAAGACAAGGAGGAAGAGGAGGGTGAGCGGGGGGGATGAAGAACGACATGGAAATACAAAGAACAAGATAGACGTAGAGGAGGGGCAAACGAGGAGGAGAAGGAGAGGAGGGGGGGTAGAGGAAAGAGGCGGTGAGGGAAAAACTGGAGCGAGAATAGGGAGAGGAGGAGAAGCCAGCTGTTGATGATGTGAAAAATGATGATCAAGGAGGAATGTGATGGGGTGGAACTGGAGGAAGAGAAAACACAAAGAAGAAGAAGAAGAAGAAGAAGAAGAACTTGAAGAAGAAGAAGAAGAAAGGAAGAAGAGTATGAATTGGTGGGACACCATGAGGTTTTGGAGGGTTTTGGAGGAGAAGAAAAATAAAGAGGAGGGACGAAAATAGCAGGACTCCTCCTGGAGGAGGGGAGAGAGGGAGGTTCATTAATGGCCTGGTTGGCTCTGACAGGACGCTAGAGAGGCTCAGCTATGGCCAGGTGACAGTCAACGGCAAAAAGGTTTAGGGAGGCCATGGTAGCAGGCCCGGTGATGCTGGGGGAGGTTTGGTGGTGGCGGAGAGAGGTTTGGTTATGCTGAGAAAGGTTTGATGGTTCCTGTCACTCAAACTTTCCCCAATCTGCAAAGGCAGTTTGTCTTTTCTCTTTTTTGCTTCCACAACCCCTTCCTTCCCTCCCCCCTCCCAAAGCAGTTGCGTCAGAAATATAAAAGAAAATCAGTTCTGTCAGGTGTCTTTTGATGCCATGCTGTTCTTTTGCCGCCTGCCCCCCCCCCCCGGGGGTTGCAATGTAGCAATTACTACCGTGTTCGCATCAAAAATGTACACAAGCTATCTTTTCAGTCGGACATAGTCATGATGAGTGTGCATTTTGTTCGTGGGAAGACGGTAGGCAGCTTGCTGTAAGTTGTAACCAACAACCCTTTTTTTTTTTTTTTTTTTTTTTCCCTCTCCTGCAATGTAATCGCCAATTACTATCCCTCCTCCTCCTCCTCCTCCTCCTCCTCCTCCTCGTCCTGCTATGGGCGGGGCTATATGCCCCTGTAGAAAGCACAGTGGCGGTCTGTCACCGAATATCCAATAGCAAAAACATTCGGTCAGACTATATCTATCTCTTTGTAAAGAGAAGGGGGCGTGGATTTCTGTGAGGAACGTTTGGTGATTTTTTCTCCTCTCAATGTCTCGTCTCTTTCTGGAGAAGATGAAGCTTGCCCCTTTGTTTGATGATCTTTTCTCCTCTCAGTGCACTCATCCGATGTCTTTCCCTGCGTTCATCTCTATGTTTGCTTCTTGGGTAAGCATATGGTCCCTCTCCTGGGTGGACTGTGAGGCTCGTAAACGTCATCGTAACGTACTATGAAAGTCTATAATCTACTATATTATATTTTGTAATCTGTATTGTATGCATGGTGAATTGCACCCGCTCAATGCTCGTGTGTGACCTGTGTATGTGCCTGGTTCTGTAATCTGTTTGATGATGCTCACAGGATGGATTACTCATTACCGGTTCCGATGATGGCGTTCTGCGAGTGTGGAACAGCGCCGAGGCAAGCTGTGTTGCCACCATCCCGAAGGCACACTCCAACAGGTCTGTATGCTACACAAACCATCTTTCTGGCATTGGTGTTTGCCGCCATCTGTTGAGATCCCCAGGCTTTGCTGCCAATCTTCATCTTTTTTTTCTTTTTTTTTTCCTTTTTTTCCCTTTTTATTTTTCCCCTGGTAGTAGCTAGCTTAGCTTCTTGGAACAAACCGCCAAATATAAGTTCTCACCGAGTGCAAGTCGAGTCATTGCTGAAGCATGTGTGCATGCATTGCGTCCACTAACATGCACAGCACATGGTACAGGTGCGGGGGGAGTGTAATCCTTCCTTTCTGTTTGTGAATGGTAGTTCGTGAAAAAATACTAGAATGCTAGAAATGGTGAAGTAGTGAAATCATACTAAGCCTTAGTAAAACCTTGGTCTAAATTTCTAAAATGATAAAAATGGCAATTCTTTTGTTGTTGTAATATATATATATATATATATCTGTTTGTGACGATATATATATATATATATCCTCCTGATGAGTCGGTGAAACTCCGACGAAACAGTTTGTCACAGCCCCTCGTTTGTTGTCCTCTTCTCCCT